ATTATTTTTATTTTTTATTACTATATATAAAACCCAAATTATTGAAAATTTTTATTTTTTTGAATTTATTTTAAATAAATATATCTAGATAATTAAGATTTTGATTTAAAAATGGTATGGTTAAATTTCTTTAAATACAAATTGTGCTTTAATTTGGGTGGCCGAAAAATAAGGTAAAAAATTATTATTTTTAAACATCTCGAGTTTGATTAATTATATTGATATCTTATTAATTCATATCCTACTCTTTCTATTAAGGAATATAATTTTAACCGAAAAATTTTTTAAATTTTTTACGGCAAGTCTAATCTTTTCTACTTTTTAATTTTTTAATCTTTTATATTAAATTAGTTTTTTTTTTATGACATGTTATACATTGCCTATGATCGTTATATGCTCATTATTTATACTCATTTAATTTTTTATTTATATAATATTAAAGTATAAATTCTTATTTAGGTTGAGTGGTTAAAATACATTATACTTTATAGATACAGTATTTTTTTTTTTGTTATATATCAGACAAAATTTTAAGTAGAATATTTGGTAGTTGGCACTTGATATAACTTTGAGGTTTTCTCCGAGACACAGTATTTCCAGGCTGAAACAGAATATTCTGATACTTTTAAATTAATTAACAAAAAGGAAGGTGACGTGAAAAATAAAAGAATTGAGTATAAATTTTAATTCTAGAGTTATAATAAGATTAAAAAGTATCGAAATGACAAAATTATTTCTTCAAATTATTTCTTCTCAAAAGAAAAAAATAAATTCTTAACTCGAACCACTATGGGATAGGAATTTGTAAAACATTGTAATACGGTAACGTTATTTTTAAGAATTCTCCATGTAACTAAATGCTTAATTGTATTGTTTCTACATAATAAAACCTATGAAGTATGAATAACTAGAGAATATCAATTTGGTGAGTAAAAGGATTTAAGGTTTTCTTTGCCTCGAGTTTTCACTAATTTAGTGAATGTTATTTGAAATAGAATGATATCATTTCATCTCATTTGTTTCCGTTAAGTTATCTCAGTATGACAATAATCATATTACCATAACATGTCCTTTATCTATCTATAATGTATATAAAAGTAGAAATGAGGGGAAATAATGTGATTACTTATAATAACCTTAATGAAATTTTAAAAATCCTAAAATATCATTTTGGATAATTGATAATAATTTTAGTTTATTAAATAATATAAATTTTTAATAATTGATAAATTATGATATTAAATTATTAATCAATTGACTTTTTTTTAATAATTGATAAATTATGATATTAAATTATTAATCAATTGACTTTTTTTAATTTTTTATTAATTGATTTAAAAAGTTTATATTCGATTAAATCTTGGTTACATTCAACTATTTCTCAATTTCAAAATGAATTAATTACTAAATCAATCAACAATCATATTTATCTTTAATGGTATCCTGGAATATTTATTTAAATTTAAATTTTTATAATACATATAATTATTTATTGTATTCTAATACCACAGTATGTCACTAACTTTTCTTTTAACATCCCTGTAAACTAAATTACTATATAAAACAAACAATATAAATATTTTAAATACACAAGAAAAAACCATGAAAAAATAATTTAAGAATTTTTAATACCAAAATAATTTAACAATATAAATATTTCAAAGATGTAATGTGGTTGAATATTAATATAACACGAATATTTAATATAACACATGATATTTTCTTTTAAAACATTATGAACATATTATTTTTTTTTCATAAATATATATGATAAGGAGACATTTGAAAATTTTATATTTTATTTTATAAATTTATATTTTAAATATTTGATTCTATTTTATATTTATATAATTTTAAAATATTATGATATATATATATATATATAATATATATATATAATAACAAAATTCAATCAGAATACAAAAATAAAGTCTTTCAAATATATTAAATTCTTTTATCTTTAAAAATTTATTTTTAATAAGTATGAACCATTTTTGTAGGGATAAACGAACAGTTGAAGAATTTAATTTTAAAATATATGTAAATTTTATTTCTTATATTTATGTGTACTATAAATGAACATACTTATAGGTAAATTGTAGTTATAATAGAATTTTAAATTATAATGTACGAATAAAATTATAGACTGAAATGTGGTGTATAATATACACTTACGTTTTATAATCAAATTGTTATTGATTTACTATTAATCTTAATAAATTTATTTTAACATAATAATAAATAAAATAATTACATCTCTCGTTCATATTTTGTTTAACTAACTCCCTTTTGGACTGCCCAAGGCAAAATTTCTAAATTTAGACATATAAATAATTATTTCAATAATAACAGTTTACTAATTGTTCCATTGAATAAATGACTTTAATATCTTAATGAGTTATTTAAGAGGTAAAAGAAGGAGTAAAATAACTTTTGTGACTAAAGTTCTTAAAATGCGTGTTTTGCAAACCATTGCAAACAAAAATGGGACGTTAGAGAAATATAAAATAAAAATTATAATCAATATTAATATAAAAATAAAAATAAGTTTATAAATAAAAATATAAAAATTTAATTAAATATACTAACTAGATTTGTTAATGTGGATGCTAGTAGAGCCGTGGACAAATTCTAATCGAATTTCGGACCGATATCCAAATGAATCTGATAACGACTGAATGATTATTTGAGTCCGTAGCGCTAAATTGTCGGGTTCCCAATAATCTACTTTCAGTCCCCGACCTAAACAGCTTCACTCATGCTTCTTCTCGCCTCCTTCCTCACTTACAGCATCTTGGTAAGTGTTGAACTGACGAAATGGAGGGACATAGAAACTTGGCTGCATTGGCTGTGGAGGCATTGGCTGCATCCTCCTGGTTTTCGGTATGCCATCTGATAACACTGTTGGAGTTTAATCCGATGGATAAGAATAAGTAACAAACCTAAACCTCAATACTACTTATTGCTTTCTCAAATTCCTTCAGTCCCCAAAATCCTGGCACTCAGGTCCTATCTCTCAGCTCTCACTCTTTCCATATGTAGATAGAGTACTCTTTTTTTTTTTTTCCTTTTCCGTAATTATGGTGGTAACGTTGTGTTGCAGAATCCATTATATCTCAAGAGTATTGGATGTCGCAATCCAGGCAAGTATGCCTTCTTCCTGTGGTGTTAGGCGATTATTAATTCAAATTTTAGATGCTTTTACGGCTTCTAATTCATGTATCTTGCATATTAACCCAGTTCGTGCAGTAGTCCGCCGCGCTCTCATATATACAACACTAATAAGGTCAAATATCTTATCGTGGTGAGTATACACTCTTTCGCTTTTGTTTTTTTCATGTGCTGTACATTGCGCTGTATATGGAGACAACGATGTGTGAAATGTATTAGAATTTGTCTAAATATTTTTTGTTTATTATTTTGTTAATTGATTTAAAATACCCATGGAAATTATGATATATAAAAGATTCAGTAATAATAGGGAAAATTATTAATGGGTTTTTTATTTGCGTAAAATAATGGATATAGATTAGTTATTACAGTGAATTATATAATTATACAAGAATATAATTTGGTTTGCTCAGTTACATCTCTTGTATTCTATCCAAGTGAAATGATTGCTGCTTTCGGGGATCCCTCACGCCAACCTGAGACTAGAATATTTGTACTTGTGCGCCTCGGCAGATCTGCAGCCGACCAATATAGAGAGTGCGTGAACAAAGCCTATATAAAAAATCTATACCATGTACGTCACGTTCGTAGCCTATCACTTAATGGATGTCTCTAGTAGTGTTCTGTGTTGTTCTGATACAAGAATACTCTAGAGAAGTGAATGTTTTTTCTCCTGTCTTGGTGCAGGGACAGCTTTCCCTTATGACTTTGATACCAGCAGAGCATGTGTGCCGTGTGTCTCCTCACGTGGCGCACGTCGAGTTACATGAGTACTGATGTGTAAATACACACATTTATAAAGTGGCCTCCTAGGTAGAGTCGTGATTTCTACACAATTTAGGCAGCCTAGTTACGCTGCATTCAGTTTGGTATTATCTCTGAATATATTGTACACAAGATATATATTAATTTCTCATATCATATAGCAGATAGTGAATCAATCAAACTATCGTTCCATTTCATACTCCAAAACACGACGTAGGTTTTCACTCGAGCCTCACCTAGAGTTAAATAGCTCCAGGCCGCCAAAATTCCGGAGCAGCGGGCCACAATATCCCTTATACTCTCTGCGTAGAGTCGTAGAGTTTGTTTATTCTGTGTTCTTTTTATTTTTATTTTGTTTATTTATTTTTTATATTCATTTATTATATCCATTGTCTATAAGCTGATTAACATATCTGAAAGGATAGATATACCTTTTCAGTAGTAGGTTTTTAGATTTTATTTATCTACAAAACACGAAGGAAAACATCTAAAGAATGGCGTGACAGTTGAAGCGGGAGGACGTTATCTGAAATATACAGAGCTCGAGAGAAGGTATTGACTAAGAGGCTCGAGATGGGGAGTCGAGGAGGCTCGGAGCGCCTTGAGAATTGCAACATAGTGGAGGGACTCGCCTGAAACTCTCCTTACCCGGTCAAAAAGGATATATCTTCAAATCCAATCTTTAGACATATAAATAATTATTTTTTCTATAATAACATTTATAATTGTTCATTGAATAAATGACTTTTAATATCTTAATGAGTTATTAAGGGTAAAGAAGAGTAAAATAACTTTTGTTGACTAAATTCTTAATATGCGTGTTTTGTCAAACCATGCAAACAAAATGGGACGTAGAGAATATAAAATAAAAATTATAATCAATATTTAATATTAAAAATAAAAATAAGTATAAATAAAAAATATAAAAAATTAAATAAATATGAATAACTAGTATTGTTAATGTGGATGCTAGTAAGCCCGTGGACAAATTCTAATCGATTTTCGACCGATCCAAATGAATCTAACGACTTGAAATGAATTGAGCCGAGCGCTAAATTTCGGCCCAAATTCTACTTTTCAGCCCCGACCTAAACAGTCTCTCACTCATGCTTCTTCTCGCCTTCCTTCTCCTTACAGCTCTGGAAGTGTGAAACTGACGAAATGGAGGACATAGAAGACTTGCTGATTGGCGGTGGAGGCATTGGTGCTCCTCCTGGTTTTCGGTTGCCACTTAACACTGTTGGAGTTAATCCGAGGAAGAATAAGAACAAACCTAACCTCAATACCACTATGCTTTCTCAAATCCCCTTCAGTCCCAAAATTCCTGGCACTCAGGTCCTTCTCTCACTCTCACTCTTCATATGTATATAGAGATACTCTTTTTTTTTTTTTTTCCTTTTTTCCGTTAATTATTGGTGGTTAACTTGTTTTGTTGCAGACCATTTATATCAAGACGTTTGGATGCTCGCATAATCAGGCAAGTTATGCCTTTTCTTTCCTTTTGTTGGTTTAGGCGATTATAATGCAAATTTTAGATGCTTTACGGCTTCTAATTCATGTATCTGCTTATAACCCAGATGCTTAATTTCACTAATTAGGAATTTTAGGTGGTGTGCGAGGAGTTTGTTATTTTGATTTGATTTAATATGTGATAAGTTCTATATAATTTTGTAATTATCTTTGTTATTTATGTTAAAAAAAAGAACAGTCTGAAAGTGCTTTCGACTCCAAAGATTCAACTTGTCCATGGCAGCCTGAAAGTTGAAAAAAAAAAATTGTGCCTTCTTATTTTGTATTTTAATTTAAAATCTTTGGGTGGTACATGTGTATAAGAGCTTGCTGCTAAATAGCAGCCGTATTTGACCGTTACATGTGCATCTTTAGCGACTAACAATTGGCACACCTATTAAATAGTCGGAGCAAACACGAAAGGGAAATCCAAAACCTGAGATTTAATGTAGCGGCTATTATTTGATTCTGATGATTTAACATACATTTAGATTTACTTTTTTGAAGATAGTTACTTTCAGAGTAATTGATGAGTTGGTCAAGCGTCTTCAGTGATGAGTGCAATTTGCTACTTCTTCTTCTTCTTCTTTCTTATATATATATATATATATATACTTTTATATTGTATCAATTTTTGATAAAAAAATTGAGTTACTGGTTAGAATGTTGCATCCCTGTGGGGATTTATTGTCCATATGGGGCCCCTAAATTTTTTAATAACATAAACTTATCGTATTAGGGTTAGCATTGACTTATGGGAAACCTATGGTGAAAGTGGTAAATGACTTCTTGATTTGTTCTGTACTCTGAAATGTTTTAAATGGCATTAGGTTCCTCAGTTATATTTCAGATGTAGGTGTCTGTCATTTATGATGTTTTGAGTGTAAGCAGCCATCAAGACAGTTTCATTCTAGCTTGTTCAGTTTTGACATTTCTTCTTAAAAGCTTGATAACAAGAAAATCATGATCTGTTTACAAGAGGCAGAGAAAAGATGTCAAATGTTTCTAAAAATGATTTCCTTGCTCTTATTTTTCTATCTTATGCTTTCCTTGGTTGGTATTTCTTCTGTTTTACACTCGTTTCATTTTTTAATGTCCTTTTTACATTTTCCCCCTTAAAAATTGATATCACTTGCAGTTGTAATATGTGTGGACTGAGTTGTAAATTTATCTAATGTTTAGCCATCGCCTGTTTGTATAGCATTATTCTCTATTGACCTCAACCAAGAAAATGAGATATTAACAACATTATTCTTAATCAGACATTGATAATAATAGTATGAACTTATTTTTGTAAATTGTCAAATATGGCTGTCACAATTGGTAATTGTGCAGAGTGACAGTGAATATATGGCTGGTCAGCTTTCATCATTTGGTTATGCATTAACCGATACTCCTGAGGATGCAGACCTGTGGCTGATCAATACGTGAGTGACATTCCTTCTCCCTTTTTTTTTTATTTTTTTTTTTGTTCTTTAATAAGACTGATATTTGTCCTTCAATTACTGGAGCATAATCATATGAAAAAATGTATCATTGTTTTATCACGTAGCTTGTAAATTAGAAGTAATTGGATAGCCCACTCCCACATTTGGAAAATAGGCATAAATACTATTACTAACATTATGGGGCCGTGCTTTTGGTATACATGATTAGTTCTGCTCCATATTGTTGGTCTAGAAGCCTGTTCAGGTGCTACAAATGGTATCAGAGTGACCCAGGACTGTGGTTCTTTGGATTCTGAGCGTGTCACTTGTGCTAGGTGCTTCATGTTTGTGTCCCATGAGTTGTACATGCACATTAACACAAGCTGCGAGAGGAAGTCATGCATAAAATAGGGGAGATTGTCCTAGTCCAATCCTACATTGGAAAAATAGGCAAAGATCGGGTTTATGCGAATACCTAAGTAGGCATTTAAGCGACATAAGTGCTCCATCCATGGTTTTGGGCTAGTGACCTACTTAGGACTAGGGCTCTTCAAGGGATTTTTCTCTTCCATGGTACATGCATACTTGAAATAAATAAAAACTTCCTCTCTTGAAATTTTTTTAATACAGATTGCTATTATTACTTATTACCAGATTGATGATTCCACATCTCTGATGCAGATGCACTGTAAAATCTCCAAGTCAATCTGCCATGGACACACTATTAGCGAAGGGTAAAAATGCAAAAAAGCCCCTTGTGGTTGCTGGGTGTGTGCCTCAAGGTAGTCGAAATTTGAAAGAACTAGAAGGTGTCAGTATAGTTGGAGTTCAGCAAATAGACCGTGTGGTTGAAGTTGTAGAAGAAACTCTAAAAGGTCATGAGGTGCGGCTTTTAAACCGCAAGACGTTGCCAGCACTTGACCTTCCAAAGGTACTAACTGAAAATTCTAGACTTATACTGTGGTATTGTCCATTACGGCTGTTCCATGGCCACCTAAGCACATTATTTGCTCTCTGTTCCTCTGCTACTTGAGGAAACACATGAAATAACCGGTCTTTCTTGGTTAATTTGAATCAGCAGCTATTTTAAAGTAGAGTTCAACTTATTCTTTTCATGTATTTAACTTGAATATTCCTATAGGTTCGGAAGAATAAGTTTGTTGAGATTCTTCCAATTAATGTTGGCTGTTTGGGGGCTTGCACTTATTGCAAGACAAAGCATGCCCGTGGTCATCTTGGGAGCTACAGCATTGACAGCCTTGTAAGTTCATGTTGGAAATGGTCAACACTTTCGCTATTTGGTTTGTTATTAAAATTTTAACTCTGCAGGTTGGGCGTATAAGAACAGTTATAGCTGATGGAGTGAAAGAAATATGGTTGAGCAGCGAAGACACTGGAGCATATGGTAATCAATCATTAGTTTAAGACCTTTCAATTGTAGCATATACACTTTGCTGATCTAGAATTATTTAATCCGAAGGATTCTTGTTTCTGAAGTTATCTATAAAGAAGAATCTCTGAGCTTGTAGTGTAGATTTTACAAGCAACCCACTTACATGACAGAAAAATTGAAAGTTCACTTGTGATTCAATAATTTTTTAGGAATGAAAATATTACTGTTCCTTTGATGTAGATAAACTAATCATGTTGGTGTTTTTAATTGTTAAGCTATATTCTATGGAAATAACAAGTGAATTATCTATATCCTAGCAGGAGAAATATGATAATGATATTAAATTCACCATGTTATTGTCATCCTATGCGGAAAGGTATGGTGTTTTGGCAGAAGAATCTTCTTTAAGAATTGAGAAAAATAACTCGGAATGATGCTTTTAAATAAAGCATGTGTAGTCATTTATTCAAAATTTTGAACAACTTAGTTTTCTGGAAATCTTGCAGGTCGTGACATTGGGGTTAATCTTCCAATTTTATTGAATGCTATTGTTGCTGAACTTCCTGCTGATGCAAGCACAATGCTTCGAATTGGAATGACGAATCCTCCTTTTATTCTTGAGCACTTGAAAGAGATAGCAGAAGTTTTGCGTCACCCATGTGTATACTCCTTTCTTCACGTGCCAGTGCAATCGGGAAGTGATAATGTTTTGAGTGTAAGCTCAGAAGCTTTTGTAAACTTGGCCTTCCTCTAAACCCCATTGCTCCCTAAAAGAGAAGTCCTTTGAGCTTTCAATATGCCATTTACTTAATATTGTTGCTAGGAAAAACTTAAGATGTTGATCCTAAGCATATGAATGCTCTCTCTCTCTCTCTCTCTCTTTTTCTTCAGGCAATGAATCGAGAGTACACTGTGAGTGAGTTCAGAACAGTGGTAGATACCTTGAGTGAACTAGTTCCAGGGATGCAAATTGCTACTGACATAATTTGCGGGTTCCCAGGTTAGTTTGCAGATACAATTCCACTTCATGGTCCTTATTCCTTCCATATTAATAATTTTTCAAATAACTAATTGCAAATTCCTAAATCAATGTGACATAAGATTCTATTGCCCCGTTGGTGCAGGTTCCGTTAAAGGGACCATACTTAAGCTAGTGATGCAGAATCATAGTGTGTGGACATTTTTCTTTAGAAGTTGCTGAAAGCTTAAATTACTGAGAAAACTAGAATTTTTCTTTTCCCCGTTCATAAGTAAATCAGGAACTATTAAAGAAGTTTAATTCTATTAGGGTATTATCAGCATGTTGGAGAAAATGATGGATCTATGGTTTCACTATTTGTTATCTAATTGCTTATAACTGATATAGATGTTTGCTGGAAGAATCCAGGAACTAATAAAGATTGGAAGAATTCAGTCATGACTTTCTGTGGTGAAAGTTCAGTTTTGTTAAATAGTTCTTGATTCTCTTGGGTTTGTCAGGTGAAACAGATGAGGATTTTGCTCAAACTGTCAGCCTTATTGATGAGTACAAGTTCCCTCAAGTTCACATATCACAGTTCTATCCTAGACCAGGTATGATGATGAAGACTGTGTGCTGCACTAATAGAAATATAATGTTAGGCCTTTTTTCTGCCACTATATTTTCTCTCCCATGGTTTTAGATAACTGCCATTTGCAATTTATCCCTCATATAGTAGGGTGGCTTTAGTGTAACGGTGAAGTCACTCCACTCGTGACTTGGAGGTCATGGGTTCGAGTGACGGAAAAAGCCTCTCAGCAAAAAATAGTTGGGGGAAGGCTGCATACATCAACCCTTCCATGTTTTGTGCACTGGATCACCTTTTTTATGTTAGTGGGATTTAGCCCACCATTGCCTTATTCGCTGTTTCTTAACATGTGATTTCCAATTGCCTGGAAATGATAGGCAACATAAGAAATTATTGTTTATTTATCAAAACATTCCTTTAGGTTTTTATTCAATTATGCTCTTTTTAATTTTTTAACTTATGTTTTATTAAATTATCGTTTGCCGTTGATTTGAGTGAGTTTTCTAGTAGCGTCAGAAAATTAACAATTGTGGCAGACAGTTCAAGCTGATTAATCCAACTCAATCTGATTCCATGAAACAGTTCCCAGTTCCGTTTATTTTTCTGATTTTGTTACCTAAACCCTGCTATCTCCTCCCTTCCCACCTTGCTTCTCCCCACACTCCCGTGCAACTCCTTTTTCCCTGCTTCTTTTTCCTCCCTTTTTTATACGAAAATAAAATAAATTTAATTTAGGATAAGTGCAAAACAAGCAGAAGTCTAAGAATATCTAGATGATAATATTTAGGTCCAAAGTGAAAGCAAAACCATCCAATAACTTTCGTTTAAGCACGTTCATATAAAAAACTAAAACCTGCTAAAAGTAAGAAAGACCCACAAGATCACCATCAAAACTCTATAAAAAATATGGAGAATGTGCAGAGTTCCAGAATGATAGAGATTTGTTGAATGGTGAAGGAGCTAATAAAATGTGCCCATTTGGTAAAGGAACAGAAATAATGTAATAGACTGGAGATTGTCAAAGACAATAGGATTGAGGCCACTAGCATTTTAGGGGTTTTGTATTGCTCCTCTTCCCTGCAGACTGTCGTGGTCATTCAATTGGTTATTGACACCCAAATCTAGCTTGTTCTTGAGTCAGGTCAATCAGGTCAGTTAGTCAAATTGGTTATTGACACCCAAAACAAACCTGTCCTTGAGTTAGATCAGTCAGCTGCTTTTAGGTTTTAAGTAGAGCTACTTGAACGCAAGGATGCATCACCTCATATGTTCCTTACGTTGCATGTATAACAATCAGTTTATGTTAAGCTTATATATAAGTGCTTAAAAGAATCAACCTGGAAAATTGTGAAAATTACAGTAAATTAAGAATGCCCCTCACTTGTTGGATGCATTCAATGACCATCACTGTATAGTGGCACACATCTTGGTAAGTTACATCTTAAATTTTTCTTTTGGAAGTTCACATGTTATAGGAGGTGTAGTCTTTTATTTTGATTTTATGGCAGAAGGGGAAGCTTGATATCAAGTTTCTGCTGAAAACTTATAACTTGATGAATGACTGTGATCATATGGTATCTGTATCAGTATATGTCACTGGACGTAGTGGGCAATTTCATTAATTTCTTATGCCATAGTCATCTTTTATCTTCTTTCTAAATCCAGGGACACCTGCTGCAAGGATGAAAAAGGTTCCAAGTAATGTAGTTAAGAAGCGGAGCCGTGAGTTAACTTCTGTCTTTGAAGCTTTCACTCCATATGATGGGATGGAGGGTACAGTCGAAAGAATATGGATAAATGACATAGCGACTGATGGAATTCATTTGGTGAGTGTATCCAGTATCTAAACCAAAATTTTTTGTTGCTTTAAGAATCACTTGTTGTGTCTTGTGGTTCTGAGGCCACCCTGATTATTTGAGTTTGTTATCCAATATTACTGAAATCCTCTTTTGTAGGAGAAGGATGATTGTTAATATGGATGATTCAAAAGATAAATAAAATGTACAATGAAGCAGAACAGAAACAACCCCCCCCCCCCCTTTTTCCTCCTCTTTTTAATTTATTTTTGTTTGCCTCTTTCTTTTTAAGAGAAAAGAAAGTCATTCTTTTAACAAAGAAAATAGTTCTTTTGTTGTTAAAATTTTATTTGTTGCTAGAAATGATTAAATAAATTGGTTAGTTTTCTATTTCATCTTCATTTTCTGTTTCTATGAAAAATAAAATAGACATAGTTGTCCTCCAATGTGATACTGTAGCTGTCCTCCAATGTGATACTGCACGTATTAAGATATTTTCTTGCTTAGTGCTTGGTTTAATATAATTTTTGTCATTTTAGAAATTTAATTTATGTTGTACCTGTTTTTTTTTTTTTTTGAAAGGTATGTTGTACCTTATTGATTCTCATTTTCATATCATGTTTAATGGTTAAAAATTGGCAGGGGTTACTAAGCCTTTGATTGAAATCTTAAACAAATTGTATAGAACTCCTTTCCTTGGATGATTTGTGAATTGTTCAATCAATTACTTCTCTGAAATGCTAAAAAAAGATTTCTTGATTTTCTTTTATTAATTTTATAGTAATATATTTATTTTATTAATATATTAATTTTTATTTACTTTTTGTATTGAAAATGATCAGAATCGGGATGTGCTCTGTTGTAGACAAGCATCTCATTTTTCTGCTAAAATGTGGCGCTTTGTCCCATTAAGAAGGTTTTTTGCGAGTGCAATTTTTTTCCAGATTGCTTGTATTTATGGTTTTGAGTTGTGTTGGTCCAATTTTGTACAATATGATCTAACAATATATATATAAGAGCTTCTAGTTCTATTGATGGGTTTGTTATTCCTCCCATTTCTCAAGGTTGGCCACACGAAGGGATACGTTCAAGTGCTTGTAGCTGCTCCAGAAAGCATGCTGGGTACTTCGGCTATTGTTAAGATAACATCTGTGGGAAGGTGGTCTGTTTTTGGGGAAGTAATTCATCAGACTCTGGACCAAATGGTTGGGAAAACAGTTTCTGATAAAATGTTGCCTGGTGAGGACAAATGTTCTCCCTGCTCCGACCCTTGTGAAACTTGCACATGTTCGAAGGAGCCAGAGCCTTGTGCTTGTGGACCAGAGAGCTGTGGAGGACAAAAAGCTTTGGAAGAAAGTGCCACCGCTCAAAATGATATTCTGTTGGATGATCGAAATAGAAGAAATCTGATTGGATGGTTATTACGGAGACGAAAAAGTAAAGTGCACAAAAAGATAGATAATGAAATTGCTTTGGGATCCATGAAAAAGCAAGAATGTGCCAGAGGATCGTTGAGCATGTGGAGTCCTGTTGATAGGGCTCTCATAGGAGGGGTGCTTGTCAGCTTATTGACAATTGCTGCTCTACTGATGCATTTTGGCTATAGGACTATTTCATCCGAGTAAACTGTATTAGTTGTACTTGTATCATCCATTTTTTATGGGGTTTATCATGCAAGATTCAAAAACGTGCAAGCAGATTTTGGTAGTAAAATTAATTCTGAAATTGTATTTTCCTTTAACAATTTTTATCAGATGATTTTGCTTTGACGGGAGTTTCGAGGAAAGAGTACATCAACTCTTTCTTCTTTTACTTCAATGATTATTTTGCTTAAACATGATAAGTGTTTGTTCTCACAAATTCAGTGCACTGCTTTGCATACTTTGAATACACTGCTTTTATCAGCTGACATTCTGGTTTGTTATTTACTATTCATATTCATAAAATGCACAACATGATTGATTGCTCAACAATATTACAGAATATAGAACAAAGAACAAAAAAGAATGGTGGGTTCCATACATGAGATTCAAAAAGGCAGGATATGCATATTTAGCAAAAGTCAGATTCTTCTGCAGGTTGGTACAGAAGGTAGGATAAGCACTTTTCTTGCTTCTTTTTCTGTCTTCTGCTGCGATGACACTAGTGCAGATATTTATTCACTTATCCTTTGACAATAATTAAGCAAATGAATGGTTTTATTGAAAACGATTGCAGATCATAATAGCATATCTGATTTGGATGGTAATCTCCTGAAGAAATTGACAGGTGCTGATGGCATCTTACTCCTGAACCGAGGATGTCGCAGCAGGTAGAGTCCGAACAGTACAGCCACAACCTGGATCGGAGTGATGTAAATGAACACAGCCCAGATCAATGAAAAGATAATGAAGATAGCAGTAGCCCTAGGATCTCGCCAACTTAGTATCGCTTGAGCTCTTTCTCCTTGGCTTGCTAAATCCCCAACAACTGTCTGCACTCTGCCTGCAACACTTCTCAGCCTATCATATCTCATCCTCACAATATCAGCTGGTCGAGAAGTTGGAAATGTGTCAAATTCCTCATCGAGCTCATCTGGATGTGCATTGTCAGCATGCGAAAGCCGAGTATCCATATGAGGTGGGTGTCTTGGCCTGAACCTATAGTTCCATATCCCAATTACAAACAGGTAGAGAAAGATTGTAGGAAGTATCAACTCTGGATAGCAAACCAGTATCAAGAACAATACATGCACAAGGCAAGTTGTTACTGGGTTTCTCCATGTGCATATGTCATTAAACCATTTACAAACAACTGCAACCCCAGAAAGAAGCTTCATTATCCGGCCAAAATTCGCTTTGCTTCTTCTCAAACTCCACATATGGTAATCCACATCCAACATATACTCTACAGTTTCACGCCTGAGTGGTGGTTCTGCTCTTCCTAGCCTTACTGCCACTATCTGCATTGCTTGGTGGCGCAACCAATCAATGTGCTTAACAGAGATTGGCTGGAGATAGTGCATTTTGGGAAGCAATGGTTTCCCATATTGAGTTACCATATTAACCCAAGCTGTGCAAGTAAACCTCAATGCCAAATGAAGCTCTCCATGCTTCTTTAATCCGGAAGGTTGAAGAACTAGCAGAGGATAGTAATGAGTATATATACGATCAGTTTCTAAAGTAGAAAGGCGAATTCTCACCTTCCCAATTCTCTGATCTCTTGCATCCTCCTTGCTTCCATTGACATGGCAATTATCAAAAACGCCAATGGTGATTACAGTACAAGGATCATAAACATCCCAAGTATACTGCTCATTCCAACGGGGATTCAGATTATTGAGCAATGTTCTGGTTCGAACCCATTTGTTGCCATACTTAGCCACACAATAAGCATCAGTAGTCCCACCATCTCTGCTCTTCATAGGCATCAAATTTCTTGCACTTAAAATTCCAAGTTCAAGAATCCCAATTCTTTCCTTTCTCAAGAACTTAGATGAAGGCTGCAAATCACTACTGAAATGAGTAGACTCATCAAGAACATGATACCCTGTTTCTAAACAAAGACAAAGTAGAATCTTGCTTGAGAACTTGTCTTTCTTCTTCTCTTTTTCCTCCTCTGCCAATGACGGTTTGAAAAGATTAAACCAGCGAGGATCTGGTAATTTCAAAGTCTCTCTTCTTGGTGGAACATCTCTAACAGGTATTATCACTCTTCCCATCATCTCATCTTTTCCAGGTCCAACTCTATCTTCAACAGTCACAATTATGAAATCCTCAAACGGCTCCGATGCTACAAAAATCAGCTCATCATTCCAAACAGGATTCATACCTCGAGAAGGATTGGTAACTCTTCCTTGATTCCCAAGTTGAACTTTCACATAAGGTTCTGGAAACCTAGTCTTTTCAGAAGGGAACATATCTTGTCCTTCCATTACATTAACTCTGAGGTAATACAATTTCGGAGAAAAGTATACCTTTGATCTTGTATTAGCAAGATTAACATGTCCAATGTCATGAGCATCACTATGCCATGCCTCAGGAAATGATTCATCAGCTTGTGTTCCCATCCAAACTGCTAGCATAATTTCTCCTCTGGTACTTTTATCACCTTTTTTATCCTCTAATTTATACCATTGGGGCGCTAATGGACTATCAGGTGGAACGCGAAGAGGAACTTCTGATAGATCAAAAAGAACTCTACCAACAAAATCGTCTTTCACTAAATCTTTATCTTTAACAGTAACTTCAAGAAGATTAGCTTGTAATCTATCTTTTGAGAAAGCAAAAATTTGATTCCAAACCGGGTTTTGATTTTTCTCCAGATGTTTAGTTCTTCCTTTATAATTCCCTAATTTCACTTCCACATAGGGGTCAACACTTCCAGTAACATCCATTACAGGAAGATCTCTTGCTTTAACAACACTAACATACAAATAATGCATTTGCTCAACCAAATCATAAGTACTCGACGTTTTATCTCCACCTCTGTATCTCATCCGTGCGGCCACCGGTGGCCGAGTCTCCACCAGTAAGAATTCCGGATTCTGCATCGGCATTTGCATGCGCATTACTGTGGCTGGTCCTGCTTTAGCAAAATCTGTTCTTGCTTCGACTGTAGGCGCTTGTTCTTTCATAACAAAACTTTCAAAGCCAAATCCGGAAGCCATCGGAGGAGGAGCAGCCGCACCTGCACCCGGAGCTGCCGCCGCTGCCGGAGGAGGAGCAACGCCACTTCCTATTGAGTGAAAAGTCCTCACTTCTTTTTCTTTCTTCTTCTTGCTTTTCGTGAAGTCAGCAGCAGTAGCAGCAGCAGCCGCCGCCAAGAAATCTTCTTCAAGTTTGTTATTTTTCATTTCTTGATGAGCGGTAGTGTTGTTTTCAATATTACTGGTGTCGTTTGGCGGTGGTGGAGCAGGAGCAGGAGCAGGAGCCGGAGCAGGAAAATAACTTCCATTATCAACAACTGCATAAATCTTGAGAGCTATATCGCCTTTAATATTAGAAAAAAGGCCTCGTTTTTCAAGAGGAAACCGCTGAATATTAGCCTCAGACTCGGATAAAGGAATAGAGACACCGGAAATTCTAACACGGCCAAGAAAGTTTTTGTCATGGCCATGAGCATGGGCGGCGCCGCTTTCGACTTTTTTATCGTGGTAAAGAACAACTTCAACAGTCTTGTTAGGAAGATCTCTTGGGTTGTTTATATTAAAAACAAGCTTTTCATTCCAGTAAGGGTTAAGGTCTCTGGCTTTTGTTTTAGTTCTTTGTCTTTGTTCATCAAAATCTACTTGCACAAAAGGATTTGCAGAGGCTTGACCATCTTTTGGCATAAGGTCACTTGCATCTAGAACTTCTACTACTAGTTTGGTCATGGTGGTGGTGGTGGTGGTGGTGTGGTGTCTTATTGGAGAGTTAAAAAAGAAAAATCAAGAAAATAGGGTGAGGTGGGTAGTGAAAGAGTAGGATTTAAGAAGAAGACAGAAAATGGTGGTAGGCGAAAGAAAGAAAGAGAGAAAGAAAGAAGAGGGAAGAGTAGTGAAGCTTATGTTGTGGTTATTTTGGAGTGTGAAGACAGAAACATATGCAAATGAGAGAGAAAGAAAGGTGAGTGAGGTGGCCCCCTAAAGTCATATATCTTTGATAGAGAGAGATTCTGATGGTACATGTGTTATTGAGAGAGAGAGAAGAGGGTTCTTTTTTTCATTTTTTTTTTTTTAAAAAAAAAGAAAATTTACTTCTTTTTCAAAAAAAAAAAACTCTTAAATTAATATAAGAATATACTATTCTGCTTTCTTTTTAAAAAAAAAAAAAAGAAAAAAGAAAAAGGCCCTCTTAAATTAATATAAGAATATACTCTTCTGCATCTAATGTGATTTAAAAAATATTATTTAGATACTTGGTGTTAAACCATCTTAAAGAAAAAAAATTATCATTCTTGCTAATTTAATTAATGGTGTTAGACAGTGGGGTTTGCTTTTGAATACTACATTTTTAATTTTTAATTTTTAATTTTTAATGGAAAAACATTTAGATGAAATAAAGTTCATCATATAAATATATCTCCTTTTGTGTGAAAATGATTTTTTGTGTGGTGGGGTTTATCTCATGTGAAAGTGACTGATATAGATTAGGTTCAAATAACTAAATTTACAAATTTACAAATAAGGGAACATATAATTCTTAATCTTATAGTGTGACAATAGTTTTTGAATCCTGTTTAAATTGAACAATTTATATAGAGTATTGTATCCAATTCAATTCATTTCTATTGTGTAAAAATAAAAATTCAAGAATTTACAAATAAAAAAAAAATTAAATAGAAAATGTGGAGCCAAGCAAACTAATAATAACAATACAAAATTGATCTTGAATGAAATTGCTGTTTTTAAGTGTTGGTTTTCTTTGGCAATTATAGTGTGGCGTTAGATTAATTAGAGATGATGGTAAGATGAACCGCATATTGTAGTTCAGTTGGCAGTGTAGACTAAACATATGGAAAGAGCTTTCAGATTCGATCTCTATTAAACACATCTCCGTGGAGGGGCAAAAAATCTTAATTGAGATTATGTTTCGAAGCCGAATTTAGTCAGTCTTTATTTATAGGGTGATTTATTAAAAAAAAAAAAGATAATAGGAAGATGGAAAATTAATTATGGGGTTGAAAAGTGATAACTTCATTAATGAAACTTATATATAAAGTTTTTCTAAATAGGACCTCTCCTTTTCAAGGAATAATTAGGCAGATCCATTATTAATGCATCTTTTAATGCTTTTTACTATCAGTCTTTTAATCAGCTAATTTTGCCAAAAAAAAAAAAAGTCAGAAAGGTGGAAAAAAAGATTGTTTTTACTTTATATTTTTTAATTCTTTAAAAAAAAAAAGAAAAACAAGAGTACTAGTTCTATAGAAAAAGACTTTTATAGAAGCGCGGTCATTAGCCCAAAAATGAGATCATTCGCATATGCAAAGATGGTCGAAGATATTCACCGGTAAAAAAAAAATAAATAAATAGATACAATTTATATTTTTAAATTATATATTCTCTCTGTCCTAAAAATATAGTCTCATTTCTTTTTTATGCGGATTAAAAATTAGCAATTAAATTAATTCAACTATAACATTTATCCTTCTTTTCCATATATAACCTATATTAATAATTTTTAATTAAATATCGAAAATTTTTATAGAGTTTTGAAATAAAAAATTAATATCTTGGTACATATATTAATTAAGTTATATTTATATTTGACAAAATATTTAGTAATTTTATATATTATAATTACTGGTATAAATTATATTATAAAGGCATTATAGAAAAGTTAATAAAAAAATGCATTTTCAAAAATAGAAATAGAACTATTATTTTGGGACATCCATTGTGAAAGTGGGACATGTTTTTTTTGGAGGGAAGGAGTAATACTTAGGAGAAAAATTGTAAATAAAAAAAAAAATGATCTTTGTAATTATAAAAGAGTTTCAAAAGGACAATGACCAGTTCAAAAAATAAAAAATTCAAAAGGATAATGACACTAATTTCAAGAATTCTAGATTACCCATTAATGGTGACTCAGCAAACCCAAATTTTTTGACTTGTTAATGTTTGTTTGTGACTTACAAAGTTGGTTGTGGCATATGTATGTTTTACTAGAATATCCTCTCCTACTCCAAGTATAAAAATAATGCAAAAGAACTGCATTTATCATGTTAGTTAGTGGCAATAAATAAATTTTTCCCATGAAGGTATGAAGTTGATTGAGTGGTGCTTCATTTGTTTAACCAACCATCACCTGTCTAACATCTGTTGTGCTTTGAAAGTGAAAGAAATTTCTGTTCAGCCTCATAAATAAATCAATAAAAACTCAAAAGACAGTAACATCCAAATTAGCTCAGAGAACAAGTTCTTCTTCTTATTTTTTTTTCTTTTTAATATTTTAATTATTTTAAGAATTTGAATTTTTTTTCTTGAAATTAAGAATTTCAAATTCTTGATTGGAATATGTTTAAAATTGACGCATGACTCATTTTGAGAGGGTCCAAAATATAAGAATGAAACAATATTTAGTGATAAAAGTAAATTAAGAAATGCTCGAGAAATATTTATATAGCTGTTTGTCTTGGAATCAAATGATGTATCTATGTTCTCAAGTAGCTATTTATAATATAATTTGAACTGTAACTCATCATATATTATGGTAAGAATCTTAATTATAATTACCGAGCAAGATTCTTGATAATTAATAGTCTTTTAATGATTTCATGACTGAACATTATTTTATTTAAAAATATTTGGACAATGTTCGGCTTTTAGTTAGTTGCTCGACTCGATCATGCTAATTTTTTCGGTCATCTTAGTGTGCTCGGTAAAGATTAATAATTAAATTACTGAATTATAGTCAAATTACTATATAAAAATTTATATTTTTAAAAATTAACTATGAGATCCATTACTTATATTATCATTAGTTGAAATTCGAAATTCATGTTGCAAATATAAAGTGAATAGACAATAGCGTTGATGGTATGTTGAAACTGTAGGTCAGTACTTAGGAATCTCACCGACACTTATTGACTATTGTTTAGTCAATTTTTCGTGTTCACAAAAATAAAAATCAAGTACTAGTATGTTGGTTAGCCTAATGGCTAGGATAAGGTACAGAAGTGTACATAGTAGTCAATGTTGCGCAATTAACTAAAGAGCATCAAAGGAAAGTAAAAGAAATACATAATTTAATATATGGTTAATATAGTTTTTAAAAAAATAATTTTCATATTTTCTAACCATATTCAATAAATGTTTAATTGACCTAATTTTATAAATTAAAATGCTCAATAAATCTTTTTTTTTTTTTGAAAGTGCTTGGAAGATGGAATTTAATAAAATGAACTGTTCTCAAAGAGTTAAAATAAAAATTAAGAAAATCATACTTTTCAGAGGTGAATTTATATATCACCCGAAAATAAAAATTTATTTATACATGATTTAGATGCTATTATTCTTCTAATTTGTATCAAGTTTTATTGTTTAAAATGTTGGCACGTGCTTTTATGTTAAGATCTAAGGTGGTAAATGAAGCTTTTCTAATAATAGAGATTACGAACAGGTAAATTTGTCAAGAATTCTTTATTAGCTCTCTCTATGCTTTGTCTTGTTCCGTTTGATTTATTTGAGGATGGTGAATGTATTAGGTGTAACTGAATTTAAAAATTTCAGTGTTATTCTCAGTTCTCTTTAATTTATTTGTGAATTTCAGTTTCCTTTTTACCAATGGATGTAAGCTTATATCTAGAACTACTTAAATATTTATTTTTAATTAGTTAACACAGCAGCAAAATTTAATATTGAAAAATATATGATCACAATATTGACTCTACTATCTAAGAGTCACGGTCCACTTTATGGGCTGCCTTAGGGTGGATTCTACTATATGGGTTGAGGACTGCAGTGCTATGATTCTGCAGAAAGGAGGCAGCGTCTGTTATCAGTGCTTAGTGGGTCATATACCCTATGGAAGTGTCTTAAATCGAGACGTCAACACCTGACCGATAGCCCGAGCCAACGGAAACGGTGACTAACACACCTAATTTTTTCCCTTTTTAGTGATAAAAATATATTAATTTTGAAGTGTATTAATCTTTATAAATATATATAAAGATTAATATTGAATGAAATATATATATATATATATATATATTTTTAATTTAGTTAACACAGCAGCAAAATTTAATATTGAAAAATATATGATCACTAATATTGTACTCTTACTATCTAGAGAGTCGGTTCTGTCACTTTATTGGCCGCCCTTTAGGGTGGATTCTTACTATAGTGGGTTGAGGACGCATGTGCTTATGATTCATGCAGAAAAGGCAGGCAGCGATCTTGTTTAATCTAGTGCTTTAGTGGGTTTACCCTATTGGATAGGTCGTTAAATCCGAGACGTCAACATCCGTGGTACCGAATAGCTTTCGAGCTCAGACGGAAACCGGTGACTAAACAGCACCTAATTGTTTTCCGCCTTTTAGTGGAATTAAAATATATATTAATTTTTGAGAGTGTATTATAATCGTTTATAAAGTATGTATTATATAAGATTAATTATTGTATGAAATATATATATTATAATTATTATATGATCCATATATATATATATATATATATTATCCAAAATCTGATATACCTCTCAATTGAAAAACTCAAAATGACCGAAGCAAACTCGAAAAAAATATATATATATATATAGAGAGAGAGAGACTGATAATTTAGCTGTCTTAGATGCTAAGATATGTGTCAAAACCCATATTAAAACAAAAAGTGGATTATTATATATAAATACTATACAATTGCATGTCTTACTTTTAGAATTGCAAAAGGACCTTCACAAGAGGGGAACCTCTCTCTCTGCCTATTCTTTTCCCCTTTCTCTCTTCTTCTTTTTCTGTTTGTCTGTTTGCTTGTTTTTGTCTGCATTATTTTCATGGCATCTTTTGAAGATGTGTCCAAAGGTGGCCTCCACCTTTTCCCATAGTTGCTCTTATGGTGATGGAACAACAATCTACGGATAGAGTTTTAGTCAGTGGAGACTGTTTTTCAC